CCCAATCCCCACAATGGATGTCTGGCAGTGGTGAGGAAGAGGATGAATCCTTGTGATGTGGTGAAGTCCTTGACCAGAGACACAATATTTGTGGTCCATCAGGTACACAGAAAGAGGGGCCTGAGCAGGAGCTGGGCAGCTAAAGACAAACTCCTCATGTGAACTGCCCTGCTCTAGCTCTGACCTTAAAGATAACTGAAATGGACTTGTCTGGGTGGAAGAGGGACACACTGATAACTGTTTAGTTCACGGTTCAAAATCTGACTCTTCTCTGAATGAAATGGAAAGCTATCAGCTCTGCTGTCCAGAGATAAGAAAATTGGGTATCTTGGCAAGATTTTTGCTGGAGCTAAATTCGAGCTGCAAGCTAATACATCATTCATGAACTCTTCAATCCTTATTATCCTCTTTGCTATCTTGAATCAAAGTCCTCTGTCTTCTGGAGTTCAGTTCTTATTTTAACTGAGACGTTTTTCTGAAGAGCAACCCTCCAATTTGGGGCCAGGCAATAAATTAATAAAACTATAGGCATAAATCATCACTCGTGATTTGGAATAGCTCTGCAATAATTCAGGTCTATAGGACTTAGCTAATGTTTCTAATGTAATATTCTGCCATGAGATTTAATTTGCTTCATACAAGTCATTTAGTAATCTAAGCATAGATGTAGAACAAACAAATATCTTTTAAACCAGTTACATCCAGATACAGTGGTGTGGATTTGTCCATCACTAGATATCATGGCAACACTAAACAGATGATTTTGGATAGATAGCCTCAGCTCTAAGCTCTGTTCAATTACATGTTTGCTGTTCTCTTGCTGTATTTGTTTTCCATTGAGCATCATGAGCTCTCTCACATAAGATTTCTAGGTACAAACAAGTAATTTACATTAAGTGGTTTCCTTAGTCATCTGTTAGCTATAATGCTATCTGAACATAATGCCACATCAAGGACTCAGCCTTTTTCTGTGGATTTGGACTGTCTAGTCATCACTCAGAGCTTACATCTGATGTATAAGATACCACTGAGGTCACAAAAGCCACAGTAGGATACAGCCATATATCCAGTTATTTTAATTCAGTTGTCCACGGCGTTTCCAACCTACCTCCATGCACTGCCCTTTGTGTGTGTTAGAAACGATACTGCACTTTTCAGAAGGTAACAGCAATTAGCAGTACTAAGGTCGGTGGTTACTTTAGGCAGCATTGTCTCTTAGGTGAGCTCTTAGTTTTCTTCTCAGAAGTCATCACATGGCGGACCCAAATTACTGTGGTATCTATCTTGGTCACAGGGTCCTTGACTATAAAAATGGTTAAAACTGGTTTTACTCCAAAGTAACTTGTCATAAAAGAATCTGTTTCAGTGAAAAGCAATGGGAAAGCACCCATCAGTTAAAGAGAAAAACGGAAATGGAATTGAAAAGCAAAAGCTAAGACAGTAGGGTATTCAGCCAGGACCTGACATTTTCTGTGCCTCATCTGTGCTTTTCTCTGCCACCTTTCTGTACATAGGAAAGAGTGACACACTTCTTGCTGTGTCACCCGCCTGTTACCCAGGGAGATAAAATTCCTCAATAAAGAAATTAAATGCAAGGCTGTATGCTTTCAGAACTAAGTCTCATTTTTTAATTTTGAATCCTCTGCATCTTCAGACAAAATAGCATGCAGCACTTAATGTACAAACTTCTTATTCCTGTGTTTTGAATCAATATTAACCATGAACAATTCTACTTCTGGAGGAGTCATCACCAGTATTGAAGAACACACTCTCAGACGTCTTCAGGTTCCAGAAGAGACCACCATCATTTGCGTTCCTTGTTTTACTGTGCCTACCTAGAGGAAACTCCCAAAAGCTCAGGTTAGCCTGGCACCATACAGCCCTAAACTTGCCTTATCATCTACCTTCTAGATTTAATTTCTCTCTGCCCTCCCTCTACTGCACTTTAGGCTAAACAACTTCTTTTTAATAAGTGTTGATTACAAAACGCCCTGCTTAGATTGTGTGAATAGCCTACTGTGAGACTGTTCCGAACTTGACCCGCATTCTGCATCCAAATTCAATGATACAGCCATTCATCAGCTTGATTTTGGCAGTGTTATACATGCCCTCCGAAACATTATTTTTGGCAGGCTCTCAAAGCCCGAGTGACTTTCAGCATACCAATCTCACTGACTTGCTGCATCGTCTCCTTCATGATCCTTGATCAGCAGGAGCTCAGGACCTCGGCTGACTAGCACAAAACCCAAAATAGTAGGTTTGACAATGCAAGTCTGAATAACAATTAAAATGTAACCTCAGTGACAACAGCTGGTATGTGCCTCCGTGCTGCTGGTTGTTGGCATGTGCTCTGTGACTGCTTTTCTCAAACTATGTTCAGGTGAGCAGGCAGAAGGTGCCCAAGAAGCACCTGTGTCTGGTCCCTAAATTAAACAAATATTGCTGTAAGCTGAATTATCCCACCAAGGACTGTCTGGAGATGATAACTTCAAAGAGCAGCAGGCTCCTGTATAAGGGCCTTTTTTGGGTTAGAGACGCAGTATTAATGACTTTACATAATTTTGTCAGCTTTGGAAAATTTTAGAAGCATTTCCATTCTTTCTTTTTGAGTGGCTACAGTTGAATGTTATTACCCCTGCGCTACCAATGGGGAAATGGCATCACAGAACAGACCTGGGGCTGTCCCAGCCCTTGAGATTTTCTACTTGGTGGACCAGTCCTCAGGCTTTTTTGAAGATTGCTGGATCTCACCTCTTTAAGTGCTCAAAGCTTCCAGAAAAAAAGTACAAGGTGCCCTGGGATCCTTGTATGCAATGTATGAGTGTCCCTGCAGCAGTTCTTTGGGAAAGCAGTGGGAAGTATTTGATTGCTGCAGTGCTTTACATAACCCAGCAATTAAGTATCCATATGCAAAGGCATCTGACCCCCTTGTACCTGAAGAAATGTTGTGGGGATCTGCTCGAGCCCACTAAGGTACAACTGACACCCCTGCACCCCAAACAACCCTCTTCAGAAACCCCTTCAGGAAAAATCCTGGAGGAGCTACTTGGAAACTGGCACCATCCTCCACTCCCTCAGAGGGAAACCCGAGGACCAGAAGTGATTCAGCAGAAGATGATGCAGAATTGATTTGCTTGGCAGAGACCCCATTGCAGGTCTATTAATGCTGCTGTACAACACCTCTTTCTCTGAAAATGAGAAAAGCCAAAACCTTTGCCTCTCACAGAAGGGAGATACCGAACATGATGCTATTTAGCATTGTCTTCTGTAGACAATATACTAACCTAGGAAATGGGACCAGCCTTCATAGCAGCAACCCACACTTTTGTTCTTTCAGCCATGCTAACTGGAGTCTTTGTATTCCTCAGTGGCTTGAGAGAGAATCCAACCTTTGCCAGAGCAAAGGTCTTTGTGCCCATTTAATGAAAGAAGAGACAAACATTCAGACTACAAATATGTTTCCTCACTGAGTTGTGCATATTTTGTGCCACTAAATAACCGTAGTAAAAGCTGTGTTTTAAGCCAGTAAAACTTACTTTGTCTTTGCTGATGAGGGATCAGGCTCTGGAAAACACATCCAGAAATAAAACAAATAAAACAGAGCAAACAGCTCTGTCCCATCAAGGTAATTCATATCCTGTTAACCAGAAAAAGAAAAAAACCAACACGCACAAGAGACATCTGGAAGTGAAAATTAACTAAAACCAGACTAGCGACATAAACAAGAGAGAAATACAGCCTCCAGATCTGTGTGGCTGAGCCTGATGGATATCACAAACTGGATTGCTTGAGGTTTTTATTTTTAAAAGAGCACAACAAATCAGGGAGGATATTTTCCATTTAAAGTTATAACTTCTCAATTCAGGGATTTGCGAGGGCATAAAAGACACAAGCATAGAGGAAAAGAATTATTTGCCAACAGCTTTCCATGCATGTTGGTCCCAGAACAAACTGAATAACAATAACCATTATTTGAGAATCATTTTGGTTGTCAAAATTCATAACTAATATTATTTACAATCTGGTGTATGACCACCTGCAAGTTTAATTGAATTTAAAAAACCCACATACTAACATATAGTCACATAAATAGTCATGCACAATTATTTGGAAAAAATAGTTTTAATTTTCATTTTAGAAAAGCCAGTTAACCAAGAAAATTCTCCCCCTGTAGCAATATCTTCTTACACTGAGGAATTTTGCTCCTGGTAGTGAAGGAATTTCTGAGTTTGGTTCATTTCCTCTAAATGTGTAAGAAGGGCTGTAGATGCTCCTAGATGAAGAAAATCTGCTTTTCACCTCATTGCTGACCTTGAAGCCACTTTACTATTTTCTTGCCTATCTAGCTATGAAATCTTCATCCAATCTGCAGTGGGATCTGCCATCTGTTTGATTCCCCTGCAGATCTGGGCAGAACAGTTTTATGATCTGCTTCCCTGCCTATAATAGAGTGTATTTTTTTTAAAGGTGGCAAATGCTACTGATTAAAAAATGGGGGGGATGTTGATTTAGTTTTTCATTTTCAGTGTTAGCAAAAATATCCTTATGGAGCTTTTATTTGCTCATATCACCCCCAAAACCCACCAAAGCAAACATTTGCTAAAATAATGGCAAGCTTAGCCAAGCAGAAAAGATCAGGTTTTGAATTATATACCATTAGATCCTATGAACCAACAACACTGCCTGCCAAATTCAGAGTCCACGACATTTTCAAGCCCAGAAGTAATTTTCAAGTACCAGACTAGTTTTGAAGTGCTGACAGATTAAAATGCTCTTTTGCTTTACTTAGAAGTTGACCCAGTTTGACAGAAAAATCTTCAGGAGAAAGTAAATGCAGAACTTTGTAGTTTATTTGGTACTACTTCACAGTCTACAGCAGTGCTCTGGAGGTCAGTAATATTATCCAGGTGGTAAAAACCAAATCCTTCATCAAAACATGTTCCGGAAAGGTGTACCTGGTTCGTTTATTCCTGCATGGAAATGGTGAAGTCTTTCCATCCGTAGTGCACCCACTATTTTGTCCTGCTCCTGCACAGAAATAATACCGTGTCAGTAATTCATAAGTATTACAGAGGCCCTTGCTGTGCTTCTAAAGTCATCAGAACCTAGTAAAAAACAGTATATAATTTAGTTTGGTTTTGTGTGACTCGTGCAGTCCTCGTAGCTTCTTTACTTACGTATATTGTGCAGCTGCTGCGTGACAACCTCCCCAAAGGTGGTCTGTGGGATGAAAGATCCTGCACAGGTCTGCAGGCTGGGCTGGGCCTCTGAGAGGACTGAAAAATGCCAGGTGGAAGGAAAACACTGAAATGGAAAAAAGAGAAGAGTCAGAGAAACTTCATTTTCTAAATCCTGCAGGTTCTCAGGCATCAAAGGGATGAATAAGAGACTTGCTGAGTTCTCCTGCCCTGGAGGGGACATTCAACACAAGTGTCACTGGGACGCCTGCAGTGATTCCCAGGGACTGAAGGCATGTTTTGCATCCCTAATCCATGAGGCCAGCATGATGGCAGGAACACATGGGACACATGGAATACAGTTCTGGTACAGTACTGTGACTCTTGACCGGGGCAGAAGCCCCAGGAGGAGCTGGACAGTGTAGGGGGTTCTTCAGAGATCATTTTCACTGTGGGTTGTAGTGCCCCTGTTTATGCTGCCCTTTTTTTATGTTTTCTTTTGCCATATGAGATCAAGTGTTGAATATAAGTGACTTTACATCATAAAAAAAGGTATTTCAAGTAACTCAATGGACCATTTATTTCAATTCCTAATACAAGTATTCTTCTGTTGGTTGTCCAGGAAAAGAAGAAATGCTAACAAAGAGATAAAATTCAGGACAAACACGGAAGTCACACATTTCAAAGGCAATAAAGTGATACAAAACTTTATCAGCCTCAACTATACATGTTGGAAATCACACATTTCAAAGGCAATAAGCTCACACAAAACAATAAACTAATGCAAAACTTTATCAGCCTCAACTGTACATGTTTAAAACAGAAAACTCTACTTGTTTCAATGTTAATTAAAACTCTGAATATCTACAGTCTGAGCCAGCAAGACAGCCAACAAGTGTGACAGACCAGTGATACAAGTGACCTTTGTGACTTATGCATCAGTGACAGTGGGATGGGGTCTTGCCTGCCATGCTCTGTGCTGGGGACAATGACACACGGACAGGACCTGATCTCCCTGCCCCCAGTGCTTGTTGCTGATACTGCTGTTGGTTTCATCTGCACACTGGGCTGAGCAGGCAGCTAACACAGCAAGAGGCTAGGAGAGACTAAGGCAAAGAGGAGGGAAGTGATGATATCCAAAAGAGGTAACAGAGGCAAAGATGCCTATGAGGAGTAACCACCTTAGGGGCATGATATCAGAAAGTGGTCAGAGAAGCATCCCCTGGTGTTACCCACCAGTGGCCATAAGGAGGAAGGGGGGGAATCATGAAGTAAGATGTCCTGGTGCCTTCCCTGTGTACCTCCCTTGCCCTTCTGCTCTTGACTCCCTTTGCCTTGAACTCGTCCTTTTGCTCCGGCTGCTCGAGCATATGGTGCTTTTTTCCCAGTGCCAGGGAGGATTTGTGAACAAGCTCCGTATGCTTCTTGCATTTCTTGAGCTGAGTCCATCTCGGGTGGGTGGCCAGCCTGGAGCACAGGCATGGGCACGGGCGTGTCTGTGATGCAGCTACTGAGTGACTTCGGCAGAGAGCACCGGTAGAGTGCTCAGCTTAAAAGCTCAGGGAAGAGTGGCCATTCCCACCATGGCTTCTCGCAGTGTTTTCTCAAACCTTTGATTCAAGATGTGACACCTGCAACCCTTCCCTAAGCTGGCCCCTAGCCCAAGCATTCAAGAGCCTAGGAAGGATAGGAGGGTATGTTAGGGGTCTGACAGGTGGTGCTTGTTACAGCTGGTAAGCCTGACGCAAATTGAGTCCACAAGCATTTGCTGCTCCTCTGCTTAGAGGAACAGAGCTCCTCACCCAATGGCTTAGGAAATGGTTGGTTGTGGAGGAAACAAGGCTTCTCACTGAAGGACCTTGAGAGGGACAAGCAATGGGTGTCTCCAGGAAACAGTACTAAGTTTGCTCCTCCAGAAGGAAGGGATGTGGGTGCAAAGCACAAAAATCTGCTGCAAGGGAAGAAAAGGGGCTCTTGTCCACCTCCCAGCTTATCCAAGAAACAAAGCAGTATCTGAGTGAGTAGTTCACATCCCCTCCATTTCCCAGCATCACAGGAAGCATCACATTTGCTCCAGAAAAAGGGCTTCTAAGCTGGAGCTAGATCTTTAATGTGTGTATGCAGCAGATACCTGTGTAAAACATGCAACAGGCTGTTCTTAAAAATCGAGACCTCTTCCTATAGTGGCACTGGGGTGGGCACAAGACGTGCCCTAAGTACCAGTCTTGTGTTCTTTGGTTGTTTGAAGATTTGTTTTCATAGACTTATCTGTAATGAATGTTTTTTTCTAATGTTATTGCTTTATACAGCCCAATTCTATGTGCCAAAACACTAATTTGTTGTAATTATTTCTCTATCACTAACTCGCTATTGTAAAATACATGGAAGCTTTAAAAATCAATCATCCTGTTTTCTGAAGACATGAAGAGGAGCCATTGTTTAGAGGAGGAGAAGGAAACCCAGGCTCCACATCAAGAGAAAACACATTGGCTCAAAATTCATACAGTGTACCTCAAATTCCTTTCGCTGTGTGTATGGTCTCATTTTTTCACCTGGAGCACAGCTATTTATCAAAGAGCTCTTGGTCTGCCTGTGGCCTCTCTGGTGTTCTTCACACTGTCCCTTGCCCTCTGTACTGTGTAAAGTAAAGATTGCTCTGGGTCTCCCAGAACATCCTCTCTCTTCTTTCACCTTCCCACTGAGAATCAGGTCCTGCCAGTTGTACCCTAAGGTTAGGAACAGAATTAGCAGGCCCTGATGTGACCCTCATCCCACAGTGCTTCACCTCATCCTATGCTGTTGTGTCACACTAGCATAACACCCCTTTCCATTGCAGGCAGAAGTTCCACACAGTGACCTCCCTCGGCAGCATCCACATCAGCTGTAGTCCATCAGCTCCCCCACACCTGAGCTTTCCCCATCCCTCTGTCCACAAGCTGAGGACATCCAGGATTGCCTTTCTGCTTAAATAGCTTCACGATGCTTCTTCAATACTGTTTCCAAACCATAAGTCCTTGGAGTGGTCTCTGCCAAAAGGAGCGGAACAGCGTTGCTTCAAGGCTCTTACAGCTCACACAAACAATCCAGTGTCTGTAGCTGCATCAACAGACTAGGAGTACCCCAGGCAAGAGGTTTGTTAGGGTCCTCCCCCACGTACCTACTGGTGGCTGCTGTCAGAGATGAAGTAAAAGGCCAGGCAGAGCCTTGCAGGTGGCCAGGCTGACCAGTCTCTTACTCCATGCTGAAAATACCACACATCATGCAGACACGTCAGTCAGGAGCCTGCATCTGTCACACAAGGGGATGGCTGCACCTGCAGAACAGAAAAGCTGGAGTTGGCTAACTTGCACCTACTCCTTATGCAAACACTTACAGACCTGCAATGACAAGAGGCAACTTCTGCCAGCACTGGAGAAGAGGCTGAGATTCCTCAGTTCTGCTTGCATTTGCTTCAGGGCAGATGTAGGAGAAATCTAGTGGAAACAAACCACTGCACACTCAAGAAAAGGAGGAAAATGCAAACAGTACTGAATACTGTGGTTTTCACAGTTTAAGGTGCAGCTCCACCACATTTCTTGACAGAAACTAAATAACAGAAAACCATAGAGGAGGGGGACCTCACAGATGCTTCTTAACCCCCCCACATTGATCCTTCCAGAAGAAGAAATTATCTAATTCCTCACAAGGTTATCTTAAATTACCTACTGACCGTAAGAAAATGTCCAGGCATTCCAGGGACACCAGGACAGAATCTGGTGCTGTTATTCAGAAGTACAAAGAAAGGAAAAACAAACAAACCACACCCTCAAAACAAACAAAACACTAAACAAAACCACAAAAACAAAGCAAAGCAAACAACCCCCCCAAAAATAAACAAAAAACACCCACCCAACCAACCAAAAACCCCAAACCAAACCAAAATAAAAACAAACAAACAAACAACAACAAAAAAAAACCAAACAAAAACCCCACAGTGTTACAAAACAATTTGACTAACTTAGCAAATGTGCAGGGTTAATTGTCACTTTGTTGCTAAAGATGAAGATAATAAAATTGCATGACTCCATTTTTCTTGCTGTATGTCAGAACTCCTATCAATTGCAGACATAATAATGCTTCTCCTGAAGTAATATAGATATGCTCTTTGTGTATTTTCTGCTTTCTGACCTCTTATCTTTTCCAAGTCCTCCACCCTTTCTCTGTAAGTGTTGGTGATCTTAATTTATCCTGTTGTGGTAGTTAGTCACAAACGTACTTCTGTTCCATTCCCTTTGGAGAGGACACTTCACAAAGCTTCAGAGTAATCAGGAAAGTCATCACAAGCCATGAGAAGTACCTGCCTACAAAATAGCTATAAACTTCCCCTATAAATCAAGGCATTTTCTGAGGAATACAAAAAGTTATGAAAAGCTTATTTGTATCGATATAACTGATAAAAACCAGATATTACATGCCTGCTCTGAAGGGAAACACAATAATACAAGCCACACACTCTTTCCTGCCTCCACACAGTTGGGTGGCTTTTGGGACAAAGCTGTTCAAGTTTTGTAAGTCATGCTGCAAAGGATCAAGAACTTCACTGATCCCATAGCAAGTAACAATCCAGGGGCAAAGGAAGATCATAGCATGGCCAAGCTCTTTCTTTATTGTCTAAAAATTATTATAAAACAGCACTAAACCAAACATGGCAAGTGGATATATCTAGTTGCCATCTGGCTTCTGGGAAGACTGAGTGGAAAGCTTTACCTCAGTTTTGTTGATCTCTGCACAAGTTTTGATCTTGTGACTTGTTATTTTGTGTTGTTAAATGTAGAAACTTTGCTCTTTTTACAACTTTTCTTGCTGAAAACTACTTCTTTTGATTCTTACTCCCTTGCCATCTCCTTTTGGCCTATGTAAGAGCACACATAAACTGAGTATAGTTCATAAAGCATGATTTGCTTCCTATAGAGCATCCTAAGGCTTCCTTAAAAGTTCTGAGGAAGAATACCAGTATTACTACTCCTTCCTCTGCAAACATGTGCTGCTTGTTCATCAGGTTAGGGTGGCATTTTGTGTTCTCAATACTGCAGAGCCGTCCCACAAGCCCATTCTCCCGAACTGGTGCTGAACATACATTTCATCCTAACTCGTACCTGATACCAAACTACTGAAGCTGATGTCTCTATTTGCTCCCTTATACCTGTGCTGCAGGGCACTGGACCTTTCTCATCGGTTGTTGTAAACGGGCATAGCTCAGCTGACTTTGCCAACACTAAACTTGTCTCCTTACAGGGTCTCTTCTGACAAATCATTCTCTGACACTGGCTTTGTAGCCCCCCATCTCCTCCTTGGGGACCTATAAAATCTGAGGCACCTTGAGAAGACACATTTTGGGGCCTGGGCCATCACTTGGTCCTGCTGATGCACCTGCCAAAAGCTTGCAGCTACCAGCCACGTAACAAACTAATTGCAGTGCAAGAGCTCTGCCTTCTTAAAGCTCAATTACGATGTGGAGTTGTCAGTGGGGCCTGTACAGCGTTGCCTGAACTTACCTGAGATAGACAAGTGCAGCAAAATTATCAAGCACGTATTTTTTTCTTCTGCTTTCTGCATTTTGTGAAAAAGATTTGTCTTTCCTCCACGGGGGACTGACGCAGGCTGTGGGTTCTGCCAGCTGAGGACAGCCGCTGGCAGGACACATGGAGATGGAAGGACTCAGGAAAGGAGAAAAAAACCTCAAACCTCCTCTCTCCAGGGGGGATGAAATGAGTGCGGATTATGAGCCAGAATGCTCAGTAAAGGGCAGCAGAGGTTGCAGCCTTTACATTCAACAGCACCACAGCGAATCTGGGAAAGGCCAGAGTGGGTATGAAGAGAACAAAGCACCATATTTCATGTCACCTGCTGCAGTTGCAGAAGGGTGTGAGCCCTTACCATGCTTGATGCAATGGCTGTTCACATCTTTCCACCACTTTCCCCGGAGAGTTTCTATTTAACCATCAAATAACCAAGGTCAGGTTCAGGTAAGGATGGAAGTGCTCATTTTCACTTTCTACAATAACAATGCTCTCCTGCTGTGGGATGAGGGAGCTCCTTCTAGACCGATGCTTTGCAAACAGAATTACTAAGACAGGGGATATTCCCTGTGCATTATGAAGAAATAGGAGCTTATGGGCACTGATTGTAAGCAGAATCCCCTGCAAACTGCTAGTGTTCTAAAGAAATATTTTTCAAATTACACAGTTAGGCAAAAGTGTCCTGTTTTGAAAAACTACAAGAATGTTCTCTCTGTGGGGAGATGTGAAGTGCAATTATGCTCCCATCTTTGCAAACATGGATTACAGAACTGAAGATGTATTTTCCTTTACAAAGGCTTGCTTTGGTTTTGTTCTATTAATACTTGAGAATCTGCGGTCCCAAACCTGCAAAAAGATGCTAAAATAATTTAAAAAGGTAAATGAATGTTTCCAAGCCACACGTGAAGGCTAGCAATTGTGTGGTAATTCTATTTAAGCCTAAGATGTTTGATGGCTTGGTGCTCTTGTCATATTTTAAAGGTATTTGCTGTAATCAGGCAGATTTATGTCCAGCTCTGTTCAGACGTTCTCATTTTTAATCCAAAATTTGCCTCTTCATGTCAAAAAGCAACTCAGAGTTCCTCCAAAGACAGTCTCGGCAGGAAGACTGTAGGTTCAAGTGGAAATAACATGGAGTCTCTTCTTCTCAATTCTCAGGACATAATCCCCTCTAGGGACTGACATTCATGGAGAAAGGAACTGTATTTCCCGATAGGGACGTTTCTTCTTGCACCTCTGTTTTCTCTCTGTTTCCCTGGTGCAAAACCCTCTGAGTTTTCACAACACTGTCAAGGGATGTTCTGTAGACACTTGTGCAGTTTAGATCCCCAGCACATCCTTCTCAGAAGACTCAGGAGATGAATCTCAAATTAGGCACTACAAGACAGAGTGACCAAAAATCACATGCTATTGACAGAAAGCTTCAGTCTTTGTCAAAATCAGCATCTACCAAAATAGCCATCCATGCTTTCTGTTGGCTGGATATTTAAATTCTGATTGATATTATAGTTTGTTTCACGCTTTCTTAAAAACACCTGAAGGGGAGGGGAAGTATAACCATAGCTACTGAAATAAATGGTTGCTGTCCCCTGGCCTGTGACAGTAGCATTTATCTTTTCTACAGCCCATGTGTGAGGGGAAGGGAGAGAAGACTCCTGCTCTTGCTTAGCTATTTTCTGTCAAAAAAATCTTAGGGTAATTTTTGTACAGTGAATATTTATAACTGTTGTTACTGTCAATATAATTTTTTGCAGTTACTGCGCTTATTTACATTTTAATGGCCAAGTCAATAAAGATTTATGCACCTGTCATCTGAATTTTCCACAGAAGTGGTGATTGCTTAAAAATCCCAGTATCTCCTGCAGAATACTCCCCCTCCAAGCATCCATTAGATGCCTTCATTGTTTTGGCAAATAGTAGGCTAACCAAGTCTTAAACACATAAGTCAAAGCCAGTAAAATCTTGCAGCAGTTTTCATGTCAAAACTTCTGCATGTTACAAAAGCTCTTGCTCAGGAACCATTTTTTTCCTCTATATTATTTTAAACACTGTCCCTTGAGCAGCAAAGCCGGGTTTATCACTTTGATTTCTTTCAGATGCACACATTACATTGCTTTTGTAGCTTGAGGAAATACGCTGCTTAGTGTTGACCTTGTTTTGATTTTAATGCAGAAAAAGGTACAGTTCGGAGCCCTGCTTTGTGGGGTGTGCAGGCACACCATTCAGGAGGGACATGCTATGCTCCAACGTTCGCTCCCATGCACACATTACCCTCCTCCAAAATGTGAACCACGGAAAAGGAAACCTGAAGGCATTCCCTCTGCACCTGCCCGTGGTCTTGGTGCAGGAATTCGGGCTGCCAAGGCACATGTGTGCCCTCGTTCTGGTCATGCTTTTCCTGAAGGCAACCACACCACAAGCCTTTTTTATCTCTTCCCAGAGGAGGCCAGTGAGTCCCACACCACTGCTTTGCTGCTAGGGGCTCTGCAGCATCAGGTCCCTTTCCATTCCCAGACTAATGTAGTTTTGTCTTTGCTGTCCATCCCCTGCTGGATTTCACAGTGGCTGCAGGGACAATAAGGAGAAGCTGGCTCTCTCCAGGGATCTCTTCTATCTCTGGGGTGTGCTCTCAGTCTAGGCAGAGTGGAGCCAGGTCTGTTCCAGCTGAAGCTCAAAGACATATAGAATTACAAGGTTTCTGATCATTTTAGCTTGGAGTTCAATGCTATTTTAGGATAGAGATGAGATTCGAGGGTGAGGTGAAGCCAAGGTTAGGGACCAGGCTTCAGCAGCATCTGAGCCTCACAGCATGCTCATTCACAGATCCTAGAGTCTCAGTGCAATCACCTGCACTGGAGCTGCAAAAGAGGCACATCACAGGCGCAGAGCTGGAGGAGCCCTGGCCCATCAAATGGCTTCGGTGCAGAGCTCTTGCTCTCACACAGCCTGGCTCACCCAGACTATGTAGCTGTAACCAGAGCACCATCAAACCTGTCCTACATGTCCTTGCTCTGCTCTCCAGATTCTTGCAGCTTGCGCACAAACACACATTTTAATTGTGACACCAGAAGATATTTTCCCCCATACGGGCAGTTCCCTCTCCAGCTTCAACCGTCCCCAAGCTCCCCTCCCCAAGCCCCGAAGTACGCCAAGCAACGGTTCTGAGCACCTTCCAGAGAAAAGGGGAAGGCCGAGGGGGGGTCTTTCATTTCATCTTTCAAAACCTTAAGCCTGCCTCCCCCCGCCTCACCCGAGATATTCCAGTAAATTACACCGCGGGGGCAGATCCCTGTGCCCTGAGGTCACCCCCCGGCAGGTGATATTTCACCCCCTCTCCCCGCTGCTCGGCAGCCCCGGGCGGGGGTCCCCGGGCGGCAGCAGGAGGCGCGGCGAGCCCGGGCCGCGGAGAGCAGGGAGAGCCTGGCGCTGAGCTGAGCTCACCTCCCTCCGCCCCCCCAGCTCTCTCCTCCCTCCCCTCCCTCCTCCTCCGCCTCCTCCCGCGCCCAGCCTGCAGCCGGGATCTCAGTATTATGGCATCGAGGAGAATGGAGACCAAACCCGTGATAACGTGTCTGAAAACTCTCCTCATCATCTACTCCTTCGTTTTCTGGGTGAGTGCGGAGCGGCGCGGCGCGGGCACACACCGACCACCCGGGCACGGCCCCGGCACCCCCTGGCCCCCACCTGCCCGGGGCGGGGGGCGGCGGGGGCTCCGCAGCGCGGATCTGCCGGGGGGGGCACCGCCGTGCCGTGCGGGGACGGACTGTATCCGCCGGAATACATATGTGCATACTCACACACATATATATGTGTGTATTTATATTTATATTTACATTTATATTTATTTATATTTATATATATATGCACACATATATATGTATATATACATTTTATATATATATATGCACTCATATATATATATGTATATATGTGTACATATTTATACACGTACATGCACACATATATATATATTTAAAGTAATGTTTTTTGCCTCTTCTCGCGCCGGGCACATACCCCCCGAGCCCCCGCCGTGGAAAGTTACAGGGGTCTCCCTGACAGTCCCCGTTGCCCCCCCACCCCTCCCTGCCGCCCCCCTTGGCCGGCCGGGCCGGGATGGGGGGGGTTGCGGGGCGGCCCCCGCCTGTGTCCCCGCTGCTGCCGCATCCCCATCCCGCCGCGGGGCCAGGGGGGTGCCACCTCGGTGCCCCCTGGTCCCTCCCCGGTGCTCACCTGGGCGCAGCGGGCGCTGCCCTCCGCCGCCGCCCGCGGTACCCGCCGCGGTATCTCTGCGTTTCGTAACCGGGCTCAGGCTCCCGCAAACCATTTTCCTGACCCAGATGCATTAATTGAGTTGCCGCGATTGACTGACGGGGGAGCCGGGCCGTGTTTTTCAGGCTACCCCGGGGGCTGGGGGGTTTCGCAGCGTCCCGGCCTGTTAGTCAGCAGATCCCTGGCAGGAGCCGCGTATCGCGGCGGCGATCGGCAGATTAAAGTCCTTTTAATGGCACACGGTGACAACACACGATAATGGCCCCGCTGTGCGCCGTTAGAGACCGTGATCCGCGCATCATCGATACGGTGCCCTAAGGCGCATTTGTCACTTCCTAGCGAGGGGAGCTGATTGTGCTTTATTGGTTTAGTAGCTTTGTGCTGTGAACAGCGTCTGTGAAACAGGGTGACTCAAATTTTCATCATTCTGCTTAAAAATGCATTCTAGACAAAGAATTGCTTATTCATGGCAATAACGTTTGACAGCGTTATAGTGAACACATTACTTCAACTGTTTCAACTTTAACTTCATAGGCTTTTTGTTTTGTTTTGTTTTTTTAAAGCATAACCAAAAATTCATTTTGCTAATCCATATTTACAGCACTACCTCTGTGTTATTGACCCCCACCCCCCACCCCTTGTTTTTTAACAATTTTGGTGGTAGCCGCAGCAGATGTATTTGATGACTGAAATGGATAGAAAGCCACAATCATCTGTTGTTTTTTTTTGTTGGCAAGTAGATCCTTCACGCTAGTCTCGAGGAGGTAGGTTGCTAAGTTTATACACTTACCACAATTTCAAGACTCATCCTTTCCAGTCCTCAGTTCTCAGCGGATCTATAAGAAACCCCTCTTCTTCCTGCGATGAATGAGCAACTGCAGGAGCCCTGGCAAATTTATGGTGTCTTTTAAAATTGTGTCCTCTTTTAAAAGTGATTGCTGTGTCTGCTGTAGCCCGAATAAACAGAGGACTTAGATCGGCATGTCCGTTGAGCTAGCACATTTCACCAACGCTAATCTCATTAAAAAAGGGAGAATTGTACATTGAGCCAAGCAGCTGGCTAAGGGCATTTGTGCCCTAGGCTGTCGTGATGCCAGGCCAGGTTGACAGCTGGGACCTTGTAGGGTAAATAACACAGCTGAGCTCTGGTTTGGGCTCCAGCAACACAGCTGTGCTGGTGGGATGCTCTCCTGCAAATTATTTTACTCTGAACTATGTATCAGGTTCCCATGTGTCCTGGTCCTCTCCAAGGGCATGGCCCACTCTTCTAGTTACTTAACATTTGGCAGCCCTCAGTGTTTGCCCATTTATCATCTTCCTTGAGCCCGGAAAAGGAGGAAGAAACAAACGGTTGGAGACAGAATCCTGCAACCACGAGCAAAGGAGAGTGAAGAATCCTATCTGCTCTTGCATCCATTTTCTCAAGGCACGAACCTATAGAAACCTAGGCAGGTCTCAGTGGGGTAAGACAGCAAAGGACTTTGTAAAGGTCCAAAATAGTTGACAGCAGACCTTAAGTCTTCATTAGCTCTTCCATGCCAAAAGGAAGAACAAAATCTAATTCACGTGTTTGGCCCCTTTCTGAGTTTTAAATCTAAATAGCATAAATTGGAGCAGGTTGCAGCTATTGCCATGACTAGAGCAGAAACATAATGTGCTCTGGCCGTATGCTCCCTTTCTTTCTACAGGCAAGTTTGAGAGCTCAGAGATGCAGGGACTTGCCTCAACCCTCCCTCCATTATTTTCTAGGGTGCTTTTTGTACTCTCACGGGCTGCTGGTTCCAGAGCCAGTGTAACTCAAACTTAGTCCCTGTGAATTCTCAGAGCTGAAAATAGGGGAAAGATTCTATTGGAGGAACTATTTTAAATTTTATTTCTTGGACCGATCTAAGTACCAGAAGGAAACTATGCCAGCACCACAAATGGCTGGTTTGTAAATTTTCATTCTGACGGCTTTCCCACATTTTTTGGAGAGGCTGTAAGCTGATTTCTAAAGGAGAAAGCCCTGCGTTGCTTGGCTGCATTTTGTATGTTGTTTTTTTTTTTTTTTTCTAGCAGTGGGAATGGAGTTGTGTTATAACACAGGGCAGAAAGTCGTCCTGTGACAGGGTGGTGTGTGGTGGCAACCCTTCAGTTATCAAGCCAATGGATTGTGATGTGAGGGGGCAGGGGGAGAAGATTCTTCTTTGCATCTGGTGAGCTGTTTTGAACCATCACGAAGGACTTCTTCTCTGTGTTTACGTTGTTTATAAAATAAGAAAATCTGTGTGCACAGAATGCTCGTATAACAAGTGATTGTCAGGGTTAAAAATGAATTGCATTTGTATCAATGGGAGAGATGTATGTAAGTGAAGGCTTTTAGTATAAGCATTGAATGAGGCTCCAGTGACTACACGGGAGCTGCAGGACTGTAATGAGGAGACATGGTTCATTCAAATTTCATACTGCATAGCTTGTTCCTCTCCAAATAGGTTTTATTTAATGGTATTTGTTATTTGGAAAGCTTCCTCTCCTCCCCCTCACCGCACTTCCCAACTTCTTTCCGTAAATGTATCAATATGGTAAAAAAAATTCCATAAACAGAGATAACAAGCTTTTTATGTGCTCATAGGTATTGTTATTCATAGAACACATTAAGTGCCTAAGGTTACCACTTTCGGTCCTTAAGGGATGTAGTAATAAAAATTCAACAGCCATTTTTTTCCTAATCAGAATTCTGTACTGAATGCATCTGATTTGAAACTAGTAGATTAAAAAAAGGTGATAAAAGCTCTGCTTAGCTGTTAGCTATTTTTATTTTTTCCTTTTGGGTATCATAAATTGCTTGCATAGAAATCTGAGATATAACCTGTCTTGTTTTTAAGAGAAGATGAATTTTCGATTAGAATTCAAAGTGACTTTTTTTTTTTAATAGGAGAACGAAACCTTAAAGCACCTCTCAGTACTTTGTAATTATCTAACACTTAATCACCTTTTGTCTTAAAACGTGTATACTTAATACTTCATTGTAGCCTTAAAAATATATTTTGTTACCAAATTTACTGCCTGCCTCAATGTATTTTGGGAGGGAGCTTTAAGGGTGCATGCACTGGTCCTTAAAGTTATACAGCTGAAGAAAATGGGTTTCATCTTCCATGCAAAGCTTCTTGTTGCCCCAAATAGGCACTGTAGCAAAGTGATTACCTTCCAATTTTAGACTCTGTGAGACACTTGGCACTCAAATGAGTGCTTTGGGTGTGCTGTCCTGCTCATATTGGCTTTTATTGCAGTTCATTAATGTAATAAAAGCATATAAGTAGAATTTCCATTCAGATATTTTTCCAAGGTGAGGGAGTCACTGATCTGAAGAGCACCTTCCAAAGTTAATGTTTTGGAGACTACATTAGGTTCTTGGAACTTGGCTTGTCTTTTGCTATGTGACAAAATCTGAACTAACATAGCTATTTGCAATAGTGGTAGTTTAGTTTCACAAGTTTTTACCACTTTGAAAATGGACCTGTGCATCCTGGTAGGAGCCCTTGGAGGTTGGCAGGTGGCAGGAGAGCCGTGGACTCGAGTGTGGTGGGACAGGTAAGTGTTGCTTGTCTGTGAGGCCGCTGCCAGTGCTATGATTTTAAACCAGATTGAAACTGGGTGTTTTCTCGTAATTCATCTTCTTCTAGCCAGTTCCTCTGGTGGCTGCGGTGTCACTGGTGTGGAGGTCAGGGGGTCAGAAGATGGCCCACAGAGGATGATGGGCTCAGGCCCTCTCCAGCATGGAGGGATGCTGGGAGAGTTGGTGTCTGCTTTGAAGCCCCCCCTCCCCCCACCTCCAGCTTCTTTCAGGCTTCCTGAAAAGGAGGTCACTGGTGGGGGGCTGGGAGTGGCTGTGGTGTTGGGGCAGGCAGCTCCTGGTCCTCATGCTGTGGCAGTAGGGTGGAGGCAGCATTCACCCACCATTCCGGGAGCTCACAAAGCTGTTTTCCAGGAAATGCCCGAGACAAAGAGCAAGTGGCCTCCTCTGTAACACAGATTTATGGCTCCACTGCTGACCCATCTTCAAATGCAACCTTTTTAGCCATGCATTATAATATGGGATTAAATTTGCGTGTCCCTTTGAGTTACTAATGGCATTAGTCATCTTCGCTACGAGTGTCCAGCTGGGTTGCTGAAATTACTGGTTTTCTCCCCAGAACTTCTTTGCAGTGCTTCTGCATTATTTTCTACAAATTTCTGGTCTTTTTAATACCTCTTGAAATGCTTATATTTTTTCTTTAATTTTTTTTTTAAAATATCTGTTAGCAGATGGTTTTAAAGGAAATATTTTGGGAAATTTTTAGCTTTCCTGCGTGGCTTAGATTGCTCAATCTTTTGGTGGTTCCATTGACTGCAAAGTCAACACTGCTATACTTTTAGAAAGAAATATTATTATTCATATAGAGTTACCTGAAGTAAAAAAAAAAAAAAAAAAACAAAACCAAACATGCTCGCAAGAATGCACAAAATCCCCCCATCATGATGGATTTGGAGTGCTCCATGGTTTAGGCACAAACCTCATGCAGTTGCCTCCTTAAGTCGGTTGTTTCCTGTTCTGCTCTCATAATGATATACATGAAAGATTAAAGATAGTGGTGTTTTCTTGTGAGCATAGCCCAAGGTGAATTCTGTTGGCTAAATAAATAACTGGATTTGAAAAACAACAAATAAAGGCTAGATGGTGTTTTAAACCATAACTCCAGAGTCAGCTTTCTAAGTTTCCTCTTGGGGTATGTACCCAACTTGGCTTAGTTTTGGGGGGGGGTTTAGTGGGATTTTTTGTTTTTATCACAATATGGTATAAAACTCCCTTGCTGACAGTCCTAACAGATGAGATCTGTGCCAGCAGGGCAGCTCCAGAGAGTGTGGGTAAACAGGGAAGATAAAGCCGTGACTTTGACGTGTGCTCCATAGCAAGTGCTGGGGCTGTTGTTGCCAGCATGCAGAACCTCTGCCCAGTACCCCTGGGTCACCTATAGGTGGGATGTCACAGGGGAAGCTTCCATGTGGCATGGATCGTGCTTTCAGACATTTCTAGGACCTCACTCCCTTCCCCTCCTTGGCAGGAAATTGGTTTTAGGGGTGTAGTCAGTTTGCCTGTTTTGGAGCAGAGGAACTGACAACTTGGTGCAGTTTTTGCATTGCTGATGCCCATTCCCATTCTGAAAATTGTGTGTTTATGGTACAAATTAGCATTGTACACCTCATTTAAGGAAATAATTGACTTTGCTGTTGGCCAAATGCTCCTTCTTTTTTAGTTGTGTAGCTATGGTTGTGTCTCAGCTAAGTACCTGCTAGCCCTCCACCTTGGAGTTTGTATCTGGACAGTTTTCTAGTTTGAGGGTGGTAACTTTTTGACAT